AGTTCGTGTGTTCGCAAGAAGCATCCTCCGCAGCCGAGCTCCGAGGCCCGAGTGTTTTGAGGTTTTTCGTTTACCCACCACTCCCGCCCGTGAGTCGCGCTGTTCGTACAGAACGGAGGGTCGCGAGTTGGGACCTGAAGGGTCCCGGTTCGCAGACCAAGAAACCGCTCCAAGACTTTCGGGTCGGGAAAAAGAACGTCCGAGAGTCAGAGGTGAATACTTTCGCCGTGTTCGTAACGAAGTGGTGCTTGTCTTCAGTGGACAAAGGTCGCAGCGGCGTTTCTCAACTTGTGCTTTCTCTGTCCAGGTCGATGGTGGATGTCACGTGCATGGGCGTCCTGATCGTCACGATGTGCATGGCCATGTACAGGCCGAGCTTTCCAAAAGCAGTGGAGAGCTCTCTTTCTTGATATGCGTGGGGACATTGCAAAAAAAACGAGGCAGTACGTCCAGGTTGACATGGGCGTCGGGCAGTGGCTTTTGGTGTCGTCTGAGGTGCGCTGTGAGTCCTACACTAGAAGGTTCGTTGACCGCAGGTTCATGCTGCGCAAACTGAGCTCTTGTCTCGGGTACATTCAGATGCCAGGTGGTTCACTATTTCACTTACTACACCGTGAAAGGCCAGAGCAAATAAACTCTGATGACTGTCCGCCCGAAAGAAAGTACTTGCTTCACTCATGGTATGCGCATAGCGACTGCACACTCTGAAGACTCTGAAGGTTATACAGAAGACAAAGACAAGCTTGATTTGGGCAACACGATGCATGGAGACGAGGAGGAGGTCCAGCAGCCAGTGGAGGCCAGGACTAGCGCACTTGAAAATCCCCTGCCATGCAGGAAGAGACCTCCGACCTTTCGTCTAGCACTGTCATCGATGAGGCCGGCGTCAGTTGTCGAGTGTCGGGCCTTTGTCAAGTGTTACAGTTGGATGCATACTATATAGTAGACAGTAGACCAGACCATGTGTCACTGTGCATCCTGCAGAGCCAGGATATCATCGTGCCAATATGACCCCGACGCCGCCGTTGGTAAACCGCATGTTGTATAGGAATTCATCCGTCGCCCCGTTTGCGCATGAGTCTGCCATGAACTTCATGCACTTCGAGTCCATCGGACTTTATACTAACTCGCCGGAAGTGTGCAACGTGAATGTGACCATGGCAGCTTCAGCGCGCGGTCAGGATCATGCTTGGCTCTGACGAGATCTGAATCTGGTATGTTCGCTGAGCTTTCGTTGGGCGACGTGATGCAACAAGTTTGTAGCCTTCCAGCCTCCCTTGCATGCCGAAGCAGCTCCCTCAAGTGGACTTGCACCGGCCAAAGTGCAACTGCTGACGTGAACCTGCGTGGTCTAAAGCTCGCCGCAAGCTTGTATTATAATTCTGCAGATTCGCCGTGACGGTTGTGTGCACGTGCAGTTTGACGTGGTGTTTGGCTCATACAAGCCAACTTTGACGTGGAAGTACTGCATGTAATTACATCACAGATTCCAGCCCTTGTTCTTGTGCAGGTACACTGTCCTTAGCCTTTAGGGCGAGACTTAGTCCTTCCGGACTTCAAGATGATGCAAGGAAGCGATGCTAAGTCGTTGGAAGCGAAGCAGATTGCCGAGTGGGTGGAGCAATTGGACCTGGAAAACCAGGTTTTGCGGGAATGCATCTCTCGCTGTGCCGACACGTTAATCAATGCTGCGTCCAATGAAGAGGACAGGAACCTGGCAATCTCGCGCCGGAAGGGGCTCGCTGTGCTACTGGCGAATGGTCCCGGCCATGACATCATAAATTCGCTGCCCTCGCGAGCACATCTTCGAGCCAAGCAGCTGCTGCAGAGCCGGGGTCTTCAGTCTGCAAACAGTCCCCTGCCTGAGCACGCTGGAGAAGTGGAGCTGGAGCTAGAAAGGTCTCGTTCTCTCCTTGAGGATCAGCTTCGGCAGCAAAGGACACGGTATACTGCCTTGGAGGTTGAAGTGGATGCGCTGCAGAGAGACCTGGCGGCAACGCGGGAGAGGCAGCAAATGGTAGAGAACACACAGCTTGAGGAGAGGCTTCGCCATGATGCCCTGTGTCTCGGCGGCCTAGCGGCTTAGCAGTCTTCTCTTGCTTGGGGACATTGAGGTACCATCTGAGTAATCAGGGCTGCCTCAGCAACGTTCGCATCGTCCAGAGTGTTTTGAAAGCACGATGTGAAGTGCTTGGATCCATCAAAATCACGAACCAATGCTGCAAAAGGCAGAAGCAGCAGGATTTTTGAGTGGTGTTGCAGGAAATTCGTTTTCACGAGGGATGTGGAAAGAACATACTCAACAGCACTTGAAGGCTTCATCGGGACGGCTTGGTGTCGGTTGTTGCTAGGGCGATGCTGCCCCCTCGTATTTGAGTTACAGGTAGAGTCTGCCAAGCGGTCACTTTGGGTACGTTGCCTGGTCGTGCTGGAATCCTTGACCCTCAAATCACAACGGAAGAAGAGTTGAAGCACTGCGTAGCCATGCAAGAAAGGATCATGTCGGAGATGCATCAGCTGCAGCTTGAGCTGTACCGTGGCTTTCCAGAGCACACTTTCGAACGTATCTTTTGACAGCTAGCCATCTGTTCGTTTGAGAAGGTAGGCTACGGTGAACTGCAAACTCAAATCGTTATTGAGGTACCAGCTCGACGAGGAAGCTGTGGCTTTGGGGCCCAAGATACAGCAGATGCGCAAGCGGGGACTGGCAGTGAAGGCTTTAGGACGACTGTTGAAGTTCTTGACGTCGGAGGGCTTCACACGAGAGGTTCTTTGGCGCTGGCGTTTTCTGTTATCGCCTTGAACGTCTTCTGGCGCTGGCCCCAACCCATCCAGCACAGGACAATGCGGCCAAGTTATCGGCTTCGTGCGCACTTCCACCGCCCAAGACGCAGGCCGTTTCGGGCCAGGCTGGCAAACGGCTGCAACGTCTTTTGGCAGGCCACCTTGGAAGCTCGATGTGAGCTTTACAGAGTTCGACGACTGCTGCGCTTGAGACAACCAAGACATCATCTGCTTGATGCGGAGAGGCACAATAAGTCAATTATTGAGGCTGGGCGGGTTGGACCGTCTGGCTAGACCTGGGATGACTCATGATGCCTGCAAAAGAGAACAGAGAAGTAACAAGGCTGACAGCGCAGAGTCAAGTGCTTTATCAGCATGAATCGTCAGATGTGGTTTTCAGAGTTTCAGATCGCCCGCAACAATTCTTTTGCTCATCTCGCAAGCTGAGTCTTTGTATTTAACCAATCCATGCGGATACCTCGAGGCGATTGCTTCGCCTCCCTCTTGCAACTTTGCAATTCTCGATTTTTCAGTCCAGGCATGTCAGGCTGGATAGGGAAACAGAGCAGTGGAGGCCCAAGGGGGGAACCTGGCACGACTGGTCCGTTCTCCGCAGCAGAGCCATGGCAGTCGTCTGACTGATGGTGCATCAGCACAGAATTCTGAGAAATGGCATTTTGTATCGGCCGTGGCCTCGGCTGCACATGTTGGAAAAGAACTAGCAGAGTCGGTTTCGTGGGAGGACCTTTTTGCGGAAAATTCCGCGATGAGTTGGGTGGTGATACAGACAGCGAGGAAGACGAGGAGCCCCGCAAAGCTCGGAGATAAGAGTATGATAAGAGATGTCAGCGTACCTGGCTGAAGGATGGCAGCAGCATGCGTGCAAAGTCCAAGCGAAAAGCCAAGAGGTGGCAGCACATACCTAGCATTGCCTTGCATGCTCTGCATTGAACAATAGGCCTTCGGCTGCAGGCGGAGGCCAAAGAAAGAACGGAACGTTGCCTCTGCCGCCATGATGTGGGCATCGATCTCGACGTCGGAGCAGGACTCCGCTAAATTCTGGGCCAGGCCTGTTGTCGCCGCTGAGGCCCCTTACTTGAGCGAAGTGCGCGTTCTGGTGAAGGGTACCGGTCAGGTTTGTTCCTCGGTTGCCGCACCATTTCCGCTTGCCAAGGTGCTTAGACAGCTTCTGCAAAGACTGAGGTGGGCGAAGGAGAGATGAAGGCTGTCACGCAGCTGAAGACGCCATACAACACAAGCATGTCAGAGAACATGCTTGCAAGTGGGAGGCTGAGACAGCCGGGTCAGATACTGCGTGCCTCTGTACGGCGATGCCATGCCACGTGCCGTGACCAAGGGATCAACCAGTTGCAGCAAGTCGAAATCATCGAGATCGCCAAATGCAATCTGGATCGCATTCCCCCGTCTCTGGAAGAGCATCGACCTCAGAAGCAGAAGAATTCCAGCATGCTGTGAGTGTGTCCGGTGTAAATAGCAGACCCACGTTCTTGCCGCTCGCTCGAGGGTGGAAGGTCTCATGACCTTGTGCCTTTCGTACAACAACATTCGCAACTGGGACTTGCATACCGTTTGCCGGCGAATGGTAGCTCCTTCTACATTTTGCTTGTTGGAAGCTGAGGCAGATTTTCGCAAGAACTCGGGCGATGCGAAGGTTTGGAAAGAATTGTCCTGGAACACTCCTCAGAATGGCCGCATGAATAGCCGTAAGCTCGCATGCAACTGTCGGGCGGTGCATGCCTGATGGTTGGAGGAAAGTGTGTTAGTGACGGTTAACTGTTCGTGTATGCGAGGATTGGAACCAGATCAGTGAAATTGAGCCTGGAATCTTCTCGGAGGGCACCTTTCCAAAGCTCGAGGCAAGAGCAAGGGAAGGTATAATTATGTTTAATCAGGCAAGATGCTTGTGGATCTAGAAAGGTATCTACTCATACCACCCCACGACACTTCGTTGCCCTCTACCCTGCTGTTCAAGATGAATCGACCGTGAAGGTCATCAATTTGTCCCACAACCGTCTTGCATTTTTGCCGTCGGATTTTCCCAAGACGGCATCGTCGTTTCCTCAGCACGCCGTGGAGCCAAACACTGGCAGCTCGGCTCTGCTTTCTGAAGTCTCAGGCAAAGCGTGAATGGCTTGCAGTACGTTGACCTGTCCTACAACCAGCTTATTTCAGTGCCGGTAGCTCTGATGCAGTGCAGGCCAGGCCCGCTGCAGAAGAAGATAGTCGTGCTGTTGCTAAAGGGTGTAGTCGCTGCCCGATTCCGATGCTGGACGGTTAATGATTCTTGAAAACCAGACGTTGGCAGGTCTCTGAAGGAGCTGAATCTGTCTCACAACAAGATGAGCAAGCTCCCGGAAGAATATGGGCCGTAAGCTCATGACAAGTTCAGAACCAATCAGTCGTTGGTCGCTGATGTTGTGCTCCCCTCGCTTTCAGGCTGAAGACGTTGAAGAAGCTCTTTCTGTCCTTCAACGAGCTGTCCAATCCTTGGTTGGTTGCCGAAAGGTGAGCTGCAGACCCTCGCCAGACTGTGGAGGTCTTCCCTTCCAGAGAACATCGGCACTAGCAAAGAGCTCGAGAAGCTTCGCATCACCTCGAACCAGATCAAGAGGCGACTTCATCTCCAAGCAGCCTGCTGGAATGCTACTCGGGGCGGTTGTTGGGAAGCACTGCCAGGCTGCCGTACTCGATTCTCAAGCTGTGGAAGAAGGAGGGCGGGAAGCTGGAAGAGTTTCTTGTCTGTCCGTGGGTCCTTTCCTAGAGCGTTGCGGTTCCTGCCAGCTGTTGTTGTGTGTTGTCGCTGTCATCGTCTTCTTGTCGTCGGAGCTGGATTTGGGGCTGCGGCACGGGACCTTGACCCCCCAATTGATATTCGGAATTCGTACAGAGTTGAGGTTCCAGTCCGTCGCATTTTTTGCTTGGACACCACACATACTGAGGCTGCTAGTGGACCGAAATCCACTTCAAGTACCAAGCATTACTGCTTTCGAGATGGAAGCAGTTGGGACCTCAGCTTCACAGGTGCTGCTATCTGCTGGCAACATGGGGTGCACACTGTCACACGCCAGCATTTCTTACACTCCGGTGCGAAGCCATGAATTAGCCTGCAGGGTGCACCTGTACTGTCTGAATGAATATGTGTGTTTTGCTCGACGTTGACGGTGTGCGATGTTCAGTGAAAGCTACCGCGTGCATGCTGCAGGGAATGAGTGGTATGGACAGGGCCTTCCATTTACTGCAGGCCGGACTCTATAATTGTGGTACCTTGTGGTACCCATGCCAGCCATGTGGCAATCGAGGAGAGCAAGAAGGAACAGGAGCTGGAAGAGCAGTGGCGGCCTCAAAGCAAAGGCATTCATTGCAGATGCCATGCTCCTGACCTGACCTGGGATCCAGGAAGCAGCTCGTAACCGAGCAGCTGGCGACCGTCCAGCAGGTCCCAGCTACTACTCCCATGATTTTCACGAAGTGATGGTGTTGTAATCAGACTGTCCCTGGCAATACAGAGCGTTCATAATCCCCAAACTGGTGACGGCGTCTGCTGGTCATGAACTAGCACCAGCTTTTTTTTCAGGCCGCAAGCCTTGTGTCTCTGTGTCGTTGTGGAGTCCACCGCCTGTGTGACGCGGAACCGGCCTCTTGCCAGGTCGTTAAGCTTTGCATGACATGATATGCCATGCTTCAGCCCTGGGAGCCATCGTGTAGATGCTCAGCAGAGGATGTTCGACTTCAATGTCAGCACTGTAGCAGGTTTCGGCTTTGCCTGCTCCTGCAGCACCGGTTGAGAAGATAGTGCTGTCCTGAGGGGCAACACTTTGGAGTTTTGCACTGGCAACGAACTGTTTCTGGGTGAGGTCGAGCCAATCGCTGCTGACCCCGTGGATGCATGGCTTTTCCTGGAGTGCGGGGTCGACTCAATAAGATCAACAAGGCTTCCCATTGCTAAGGACCATCTGGACTCCTGGTACTTTGGGCATTGTGGAGGTGACGAGGCCATGCCTGAACACCTCATGTTCTGACATGTGAAACTCCGCGGAGTGGCAGGCCCGGATCCGAGAAATTCGGGATGCCGAGCAAAGCTTTCTTGTGAAAAAGAGGCCGGAGCCCCTTCTGTTCTTCTTCGTGTGGCAATTGTTGAGAACGCCGTTGTATCATCCCTCACCGTTTCGACCCTGACCGGATTCTTGTGATCGGTTCCACCGGCGTGTTCATGCAACAGCGTCAAGCAAGCGCCGGATGTCTGCTGATGCTGGAATGCATGTTCCGTCGACGGCTTGTCGTCGAAAATTGATCTGCGAAGGCACACATTCCTGGCCATGCAGAGAAAAGCTGCAGAGAGTGCGCAGGCACGGGCCGCCAGTCTTGTCGCTCATGCTGTGGCTGAAGCCGGTTGTTAGGAGGCCAGCAAGGATTTGCCGGAGCAGTTGAAGGCAAGCTGCACTGCTGGTCCTACTAGTAGTCAAAGACGGGAGCACATGGATGGAAAAGGTATTCTTGGATGAGAAGAGCTACCAGAACTACCGCGGCCGAGTTCATGAGCAGGACGAGAAATTTGATAAACTTGTTGAGGCATGTTCAGTTGTCTGAGGGTATGTTGTCCTGCGAGGATATCGACCTTTTCTTCATCCTTTTTGTCTTTGCGGCAAAGCCGATGTACAAGTCTGCGCAGACTTGGTTCGACAAGTTTGAGGTCGGCGAGAAAGGCTATATGTCCAAGCAGGAATGGTACGAGCCGAAGCCCCAGCAAAGTCCGCAGTATGGATTCATGTTTGCACGTGCACGTGGATGTGTAATCATAGCCCGAGAGGCTTTTGAAGTCTGGGAGAGTCGCATCAAAAGAGTATGAGACTGCACGAGGTATTGCTAGACAATTGTGAGTCTTTTCAAGGTTGTGTCTGAACTCGCCCTTGGACGTGCGACAGAAGATGATGGACTGCACTTCGTCCAGCACATGCTCACATGATTCTATTCCGAACTGGCAGTTCTGAGTTGCTCCAGAGTGCCAGGATGATCTCTGGCATGTTCTCTATGACAGCTCCGTGAACGCACACGGCCTGACTGAGCCGTTTTTCATCGCCTGCTGCCAGATCCATGATCTCGAGGCGCAAGCGTGTTTTGTGTTGCTTGCAGGACGACATACATCCATGCCGCAATCCAACCCAAAAGCCAACAACCTCAAAACCCAAGCCAAGGCGGGTGCCATAGAATCCGCCAAGCTTTTCTCAGGAAAGCCGCTTGTTTGGGTAACTGTACGTAGAGGTTGACCATTGAGTGCTTCCCTCCCCTGATCTCCCCTGCTTTGAACCGTCAACTTTCAGAACACCACGGTTTTCACGAGGTGCAGTATGTGCCAGCTCTGTCGGCCTTGAAATCTGTTTATTGATGTGCTTGCCGTGGTGCACCTTGATGCAACGCGAGTGTTCAACCTCCTATGTCCTGACCCTAGCCTGCAAGCAGCAATGCCAGTCAAGTCGAGAAAAGAGCTGGAGAGTAAGACACCTCCTGCTGCGAGCCTGCGTGAAGGCGCGTGACCCGTACATTGAACGGATGGCCGATGCCCTGTGCCTGTCCTACTACGACACTCTGGCATGGCAATTGCTGCTAGGGGTCACTTGTTTCCAGCGACACTGCTCCCCTACAAAGCCCCAGCACATGCCAGGATAACACCATCTCCGAGATTGAGGCCAAGCTGGCGCCCAATGCCATGGACAGCCCCGATGCACACTCCATGCAGATGGATGTAGCTGTTGCCTGAAGTTGATGGAGAGGGTCGACAAAAGAAAGAAAAGACAGGCCCTCTTGGCGCCCTCTTGGTCAGAGTGCTGTGTAAACGGAAGACATGGGAAACCGAGACCGCAGCGGGTCAAGACGATGGTGTTTGACAGGGGGCAGTGCTGTTCTATAATGTCTTTGATGCAGCTGGCTTCCTTTGCGGGTTTGTGAAGTGCTGGGACTGGTCCCTTCCCGTCCACTTGAGGAGTTCGGGGGAGGCGACGGTGAGAACACCAGCAGCAGGCAGAGGGGATTTCTGCTTCCCACATATTTTTTTCGATGATACTCGCAGGGACGCTGGAAATGCACTCGATGATCCGACGGGCCTGAAGAGTGTCAGCTCCTGAGGATGTAAGGCTCGGGACCGAGGGTCGTCCGTTTGCTTTGACCAGGCCAACCAGTCAGCGGCAAAGCTGCATGCGGGACCAGGTCTTAGCAATGCCTCTTCGGGGCTTCTTGGTTCGGTTCACAGCTCCTCAATACATTCCCATCTACTGAGGCAGCAGCACACTTGCCACCACCGAAGCGTACTCATTGAAAGATCTTCTAAAGAAGGCGCGAACAAACGACTTTATGCTTCTCAGCCTGATGCTATTCGGGCAATCTCCCACACTATGCAGGTCAGCTTGACCGATTACGACATACAGCACATCAGCCATGTTGACGGTGAGGACGGGATCTGTTAAAGCTGTTCCATCGCAGAAGCCTGTGCCCGGTCGCGAGTCAGCTTGGCACCTTTGGCAGAGAGATGTTCTAGTTCAGAGTTGCAGCTTCCTGACTTGAGTGATCGGCTCGCGTCTCTTCAGGAGGGCAGTGTTGCAGAATCGGAGAAGTCACGCGACTCTGCCGAGTTGTCCGAAGATGAAACCTCTGAGATGTCTGAATTTGATGTCCCCCCCTCAGCTGAGACCCTGCCGGCCCTGTCAAGCGTCTTTTAAGCGGATCGGTCACGTCCGAGGCGCAGGCCTTCCTCCAACTAGAGGAGGAGACCAACATCAAGACGGCTAACAAGACGCACCAGCGCGGCCCATAGTCTCAAGCAGATGCAGATTTTGCTGTTCTCAGTCTCTCAATAGTTCAACATGCTGCGGCAGGCGCTTTGCGATTGGCAGCGATGCGTCCTTACGACAGCTGATGGAGGTGCGGCGGCACATGAAGCACTTGTTAGTGCAAGTGTCTCGCCTTGTTCCACAAAGCCAGGCTCCCTTGCAGGAGATCTTCAGAGGCTCGTCCGTGCTCTTTGCCCGCATCCACGCGCAAAGCCGCTCACCGGCACAAGGTAGACGTGAGGCAATGAGGGCGACGGAGGCTGTCGCTGGCAACCTGATTGTGCTTGGCTTTGGCTGTGGACAATGTGGCCTTGTACTGTTGCATTTCTCCCTGCCGTGCCCATGCGGACACAAGGGGCATGGGGCATGGACCGGGTTGCAGGTGGCTGGTCCATACAAGCGCCAAGTAGTCATCAAACCTCAGCGCAATCGCAGGCTCCGGATGCGGGGTTGCGACGGTTGCGCTCTGAGACTTTTTGGGGCTTTCAGTCTTGTCGAGGCAGCAGTTTGACGAGCTCTCCGTGCGGCGAGCCGGTGCCTCAGAAGTCCAAGGCCAAGGCGGGAGAGTGTTTCGCTGTTTCGTGTGTGGCATCTTCTCAGGCTTTGCGTGATGTCTACCGCAGTATGCCGTTTCTCGACTTCTCGGCATTCATCTCCTTTCTGCTGCGAACCCTCCACAGCATCAAGGCCAGCTCTTCCAAGAGTGTCGTGCTGGTCTCATATGCTGAAACGGTGGCGCCGAGGAAGAGAAGAACGACCGTTCAAAAGGTCGAAGCTGTGCGTGGCACGATGACGACCCCTCGTTCGCTGCCCAGAGACTTGCTGCTGTACGTGCTTGGGTTTGCTTGGTGCTGGGAGACTTAGGCCTTTCACATGACATGTGGTAGCTTGTCGGTTTATTCGTATAGTTTTGCCAATAGTGGTCACCATAGTGTCCGACAGTGTTCTCTGACAAGGGTCCACACCTGTAACATCTCCAGAGTGGATTCCACGGTTTCTGGCCGCCCCGAGTGTTGGAATTTTTGGTTCTGACCCGAGCACTCTCGGAGATGTCCAGACACGGTCTTGTTCCAAATCGTAAAACACAACACAAACTGCTGCCAGACCCCAAAGTAGAGAGCTTGAGGACACCATTGCATCACGAGCGAGATGTACAAATTGCAGATAAATGAAGGCGGTTACAATCCAGAGCCGGAGACTGGCACGACTTGGTGATGTGTTGAAGCGGATGACAGATCCCAAGATTCATCAGTGTTGAACTTTTGAGGTTCCGACATGCGGTCGGAGTGGCGGGTCTGAACAAGTATACGTGCCGCATCTTGGATTCAAGCATGTTCTTATGCGCTTGAAATGGCTACCTGACCTGTGGCATTTCGTTCAAGCCGCACGATATGTGACTTCGTGGTCCAGCTCAGGCCTTCTTGAGATCATGGGTTTTGTTCATCTCAACCAGATCTGCTGGATTTGGCCAACAGCTTTCGGCTCAGCATCCGAAGTGGAGGCCCGGCAACTTCACACTTTGCCAGCGTCAGCATTTCTCGAAGGTTCATCTGAAGTCCGCCAAGTACGGGAAGTGCTGGGGCCACCTGCAAGTGCCCTTGGACTGCCCCGGCCTCGTCAAGCCCCGTCCTCGGTGCTGGCTGTGCTCGCTGTGCTCGCTCCCCAACTCCGTCCAAAGTTTTTTTGGACCTCAAGGAGCCGGCTCGAGCAGATGATCCAAATCCTTACAGCCTGCCAGGGGGCTCAGCGATTCGCTTGGCAACCTCTTCCCGCCCTTGGCCACGAGCTTTTGAGAGGCCTTGTGGCTATCAACGACAAGGGTACCGCCTTCACAGGCTCTTCGGCTGCTATTGGAAACTCGAACTGCTGACCCTTCAAATCTACTCCGTGAGAGGTTACTTCGATGTGGACTAGCTGGATGCACAAGCTTTCCCGATTCCGATTTGGAGTTGTACTCCTCCGCCAGATCCAAAGAGATGTCTGGATACTGCACATCTCGGATGGACGATGCTTGTTTGCAGAGCGTTTCACAAGGAGCCCAAGACTGCTTCCAGTCGCTTCAGATCGTGGGATCACGATGCTGGTCCGCTCTGTTTTAGCTACAGAATTCGCAGCTAGTGCTAATGGACCGGGCTGAGATTACAAATGATGGTTCAAGATTCTGTCGGTATCCCTGTCCTCCCTCAGGCATGCGGCATGCCTGTTTTAAGCCCATGGGGTTTGCCAAGTCCCTGAAGGTCTTTGCTCTGCCTTGTTCCCTTCCTGGAGTAGCGAACGGGGAATAGGACACATGCTTGCAAAACTGCAAGATTCCTGCAACATCTGAAGGTTGGCTGTTCCCCCCCGGTGTTGACGATTCGCAAACTCCAGCAGCACCGAGCGCGAGCGATGCATGCACCGAGTGTGAGCGATGCATTTACGAGACACAATGCTGCAGTGTACTTCGCTTGATGTTAGCGGTGGTTTGATGGATGTACATGTGGTGTTGTCAAGAGTTGATAGTGGCCTTGTCACTTTAAGCACTCTTCGAAGCGTGTCAAGTCCAGTGCTCCGAATCGCCATCGCCGAAACCGCCGACTTCACTTTGCAAAGTACCCAGCCGAGCTCCGAGTCGGCACCGGCCTTGACAAGAAAAACCTGGCTTGGCTATGCTTGGCCTAGCTTTTCCGGGACCCTGCGCATGGCGAACCTCGCCCCAGATTCTCAGAATCCCCCTCGCAGAAGCGCGATGAATGGCCGCAACAAACGCTAACCGACAATCGGGGCATGCCAGTTCCACTAATTACCCGATGCAAGTAGGCTTAGCCGGAGAGGTTGGGTTCAATCCACGATGGTTTTCTGCTTTTCGGTGTGTAGCTTTGACGATCTTGGCCTGGAGCGTTGTACAAAGTGCCTCTCCTGCAACATGCAGGCTGTCTGGCTGTTTGACGTGCGAAGTGCGCGGCTCGAAAAGGCATGGCCGTGCAAGCGGCAGCTACGAAGCTCTGTTCAAGACTTGAAGCAACATGGAGGAAGTGAGTGCTGGAAAAGCTGCTCTTCAGACAGCAACTCTGAGAAGTACTGAGATGCAGGGCGGTGACATAAATGGGGACACGGAATGGTGTGCAACACGAGTAACAGTTGGCATGCTGATGCCCCAATGCTAGCAGCACCCAATGGCTGTTGGCAAATGGGTGGTGGCCCTGCGATCGCAGAATACTGTTGCAGCACCTACCAGCAGCCGGGTTGCACGAACATGATTGTAGTACTGCCGTGTCTGGCTGATTTTTATGTGTGTGTATACATATATATATTTATATTTATTTATATTATATATACATATATATATATATGTGTATATGTATATATGTATATGTGTATATATATATATATGTATGCATTGCACAGGTTTTCGTATGCGAATGCTATATCTGCACCTGCACCTGCATCTACGTGTATAGCTACATATTACAGATGTATATGTATACCTGTATCTGGCTCTATATCTCGAACTATGGGTTTAAAGCAGGAACAATACCGCTGCTTTTTTGGGCCTTCTGTTCGGTGATGAAGCTGTGATAAATTTCATTATGAATCCATGTCTGTATTTCTTGACGTTGCGGATCCTTGAGGATGACCGTGCCGATGCAGGGTACGCTTGGCAGTCTTAGAAGTTATGTACAAAGCAGTACTTGCACGACTACCATTGCAGGCTGTGACAACATCTTTCATTCTGCCGCAACTGCCAATATCAGACAGACGCTTGGTCAGTGTTCAAACTTTAAACGTGCCATTGGGTTTCTATTGCCAACAGGTCATACCAAAAACATGAGCAGTATAGGGATGTCGCCGATATCATGTAGAGTAACGCGGGCTAGCAATGCTCGCTCAGTCATGATCAAGAACTTACTGTTCTTGCCAGATGCGTCGCCACGATATGTGGTTCTGATAATGTGAGCATAAATAAACCTGACAGGCACTTCCAAAATAGACTTTGTTTGCTTGTTGTTGTTGTTGTTACTAGTACTAGTACT